CCAGAGTCCTTCCCAACCCAGGAAAGCCCCTACTACTCTCCCCCAACCCTACCCCTACCAGAGTGGCCTGCTTTCCTTGCACTGAATTTGTGTGTTGGTTCTCCTGAAGGGGGCGGGACTGTCTAAAAGAGTCAGGAGACCTGCATTTTAACTCACAAAATGCCTTTGGTCTCCCAGAGGCAGTGTGCACCCATGTGGGCTGGACAGGAAAGTCCACTAGTTTAATACTTGTACAAGTAGTAGTATTGTTGGTAGAAAATTTAAAAACAATAATAAAATCGACTAAAAGTCAATCTGCTTTTTATGCTCACCATGCTTTCATGGGAAGATCAGTGATAAAATATTTCTTCCTGCTCTGCATAGTATGGCTCAGTTGGTTGTGTATCCTTCTGAGCACTGGAAGGTTGCTGGTTCAATTCCTGGTGGGGGAGTATACAGGAGTCAGCAGATCAATGTTGCACTTTTGCATGCCTACCCACCCCCACCCTCCCTTCATCTCTTCCTCAAAATAAATAAACTATTCTTTAAAAAATATTTCTCCCTGACAAAGTTGGCTTCTCCCACTACTTCATTCAGTTCCCTCCATCCTCAGTCACTGCTGCCTGGAAGGGAAATCAGGCAGTCTCAAGGGCCTTTCCCCCCACTCCCTACCCCACAACTCTAGGCTCTCTCTGCCAGATTACCACCAAAGTCATAGCTCCTTTCCATCACTCTGAACATGACACTCTCAATGCAGTAATCCATGGGCTTTGCCCATCACCCCTGAACAAAACTGGATTTCTACTTTACCTTCAAACAATTTCCCAAGATAGAACATCTTAGCTCCTATAGCCAAAACTGGCTTTATGGGTGTGCACCAATGCAGTGGCCTGGGGTCCCACACTCACAAAAAGGACACCGTTGAACTTAGGGTTCAATGCTCTGTTGTCATCTTGAAATTCTTAAGAACTTTATCTCTGAATATGTGTTTTGTAAATTAAGTGCAATGGAAAAACGGGACATGTGCCTGGAGGCTCCACACATTGGCTCAAACATGGTCACGCCTCCTGAAGCCACCCTGCCTCTAAATAACTTTTGCATGAGGCCCTGCACATTATGAAACTGGTTCTGCCTTCAGCCACCCTTACTTCCAGCTCTGACTCATGGCATCTAGACCTCCACCTCCACCTTGTGTGCATTGTGGTGTGGACAGCAGGGAGAGGTATAGACACAAGCAGGGAGGAAGGGTCTCCTGACTTTAGAAAAGAGAATGTCTAGAAAGTAAGCCATGTGATGCCATGAAGGATGCCATACCTGCTACCACTGTCATTTGAAAAATATGCTGCAGCAAATGCAAAGGAAGTAGCAATTGTTGCTGCTGGGAACCTCTTAGGAAGGGTAGTTTTTGAACCAGGCAAGGAGGAATGGGTAAAATTTCCATGGAGAGTCAATGAAAGTGTGCAAGGTAAGGGAGCACACATGCACATCATAATAATAGAAGGCCAAGAGGTGTCAAGACCAAAACGACCAAACGATCGGTTGCCATGAGGTGGCATTGACCACTTCTGGGTCTTTCCCCTGTCCCTACCAATGAGCAGGGACTGGATGGGACTGGAGATTGGCGACTGGCAAGCAAGCTGAACTGCTGACCTTTTGTTCCCTCTCCCTGGCCCACAAGGTCCCATGGATCAGCGAGTTGAACAGAGGAATCAGGGTGGGTGATAAGAGGACCAGGCTGGCTGTCAGGCCATTGGGATCACCAGCTCATCCTCGGCTGTTTGGGGGCTCAGGCTTTTGGTAAAGCAGGCGCTGGTGACTTCACCTTCATGCGCATGCACTGGACTGGTCGCTGATGGGATGCACTGCCCAGCTCGGGGCTGCTCATGCCGGAATCGTAAGTTGCAGGAGGGCCCCACAGCCTCCCTCAGCACCTCAAGCCCCATCAGTAGCAGCAGCAGCAGCAGCAGCTTGGTGATGGCAGTGGCACCCGCGTGAGTGACCCTGAGCAGGTAGCACATTCCATTAGCAGCCGACCCAGTATAAGCGTGTGGAGGTGAAGTCTCCTGGAGCAGCCAGGAATGAGCTGGTGATCCCAATGGCCTGACAGCCTGCTGGCAGAGGTGGTGTTCAGCCTGGGGACTGGCTAATGGGCAGAAGATGGCCCTGATGGCAGGAGGTTAGGCCTAGGAACCCTACCTGCAGGATTTAATCATGCGCTAAGCCTCTAGTGGGTTATAAAGCATATCCAAGTACCTTCTGAAGAGTGAACGGGGCTGAGGCATAGAATGTATGAGCCCAATCATAAAATAATGAAAAGGGAGGTTAGGCCCGAAGTGCAGAGAACCCTTCTCTCTTTCCCTTGTATCAACCTTCTTCTTTAAACAGTGGTTTAGGATTTTCTCTTCTATAAAATCAAGGAAATGGATTAAATGATCATCTCCTTTTAATACCCTGTAATTCTTTATGGAGACCACCAGCCATAAAGAGGCATTCCCAAACCATTGATATCCTCTTTCATTATTTCTATTAACTCACCCTTATATTGACCTTGTTAATCTATACATTAACTCTTATTCTACTTGGGATCTCCCCTCACTAACCATACTTGATTGATTTTCTTATGAGCAGATATTCTGCATATTCTATGTTTATAGTTGCTGGGTTTGAGGGGATTTAATAAAAATTTTTTCATAAACATTTAGTCTCAAATTATGTTATTAAAGCTTTATTCTGTTTGGAAATGGGGACGTGGAAGAAGGAGGTATAATTCTAGTGCAGGGATGGGGAATATCTGGCCCTTGGGCTGTTTAAAGCCTGCAAAATCATTTGGTCTGGCCCTGCCAAAGCATTAGGGGTGAGTTAATTAAATGTTTGACCAAATATAGTAGACTGATTTTTAAGTTGATAATTTTGTATAGCTCAAGAATGATGTTATAAATATCCAAATGACCTTTGGTAGAAAAAAGGTTCCCCGCCCCTGTTCTAGTGGTATGAAGGATATACTTGTATTTTTCAAGTTTCATTTTGTTGGTCCTGCAAGATGGAAGGAAATGTCACTTACATGCAGAGTGAGAGGGAGATGAGTTGTCCTGTGGGAACCATTTTTCCTGGGATAATATGATTCCTAGGGCAAACTCTAGGGTTGGGCAGCAAAGCTAGAATCCTTTGCTCTGCTTTAACCTTGAGGGAGTCAATTGTCCACAGAGTGGTTCCCATGGAAAAAAAGATGGTCTCCTTATCAGAGGGAGGCGGAAATTGGAACAAAGTGCTTGCAACATTGCTTGCTGGTCTTTGGGGATAAGAGAACAGTTCTTCAGACAAGATGGGAAAAGAGGCTGTGCCTGTAAGTCCTGGGAACGAGTTACTGTGGACAGGCTCAGGCATGGGTACTGGGTAAGCAGGGTGGCTTTTCTGTTTCTCATGCCACCTTTGTTTCTTTCTCTTCTGTTCCCCCCGGATTTAGTAAAGTCTTTCTGAAAGTGCCAAAGGTGAACCAAGGGAAGGGTTTTTATTTTCCATGCTAAGACATAGCTTTAAAGAGGAAACAGTATTCCTCTGGGGGCCAGCGAGGTGATAGCAATGGTGATTAAAGAATGGATACCTCCTGGCGGATGGTGTGAATAACAGGGTATTAACTATGGGATTACCCATGCAGCCACCCTGAGAGTTCTTCCAGGGCCAAGCTTTTGAGAATCAGGGCTTTGCTCTACTGAGGGAGAGTCCAGCACGGACGGTATCTTGAGATCAGCCCGCTAATTCCACATGGACTCAGTGGAAACCTCATGTTGAGGTTCTGCTATGGCAACAGAATGAGTGTGTTGATGGGTTAAAAATGCTATTTAAACAAGGACATAACAGAATTAGAAATCTAAAAAAAAAAAAAAAAAAAAAAAAAAAAAATCTAACCACTGAGACTCTTTGTAATGAAAACTGTAATAAACTAAAGAACAATTAATCAGCATGGAAACTTGCAGTTCAGGGTAAGTCCAGCTCATTAATTTCAGCTGATTGTTGCTGCCTCTCCATCTTCTGCTGCCATCTTGTGAATGAAGACAGTCTCTGCGGAGCAGTTGGGTGTCCTGGGAAAGCATGTTAACTGTAGAGCTTGGCAGAGCTCTCTCACAGAATAGGTAGTGGTCCCACATGGTCTTTTACAATGGGGAGGAGAACAGTTCCACCAGGCTTGGCCCAGTCAGGGCTGAGTCCTTCTCTGATGTCACCATACAGAAGCAACCAACCCAACTCAGCCACAAGGTATTCCTTTGAGAGACTCCAAGGGCTGTATTTGGGGGGGGGGGGGGGCAGTATAACTCTGTCTCTTGAGACACGTGCAAGGCTGTTGTTGCCAATAAAAGGCTGTAAATATGCATTTATAATTTTCAGGTTTAACTTCATGATTTGACAAGGTGGAGTGGACTATGGTATCTAAAGGCCCAAATAATGTCTAAAGAAGTGGCAGGACATCGTTCACACCCAACAGAAGGCTGCAGATAGAGCAGACATCAGATGCAAGTGCAGTGGGGGCTGTGTGAACAGCAAAGAGCAGAGGCAGAAGGGCTGGCATGCAGCCTCCTCCTGCCTCGACCTTTGTGCCCTGGGTCCTAGGAAGAGACCTAACCCTTTTAATCTATAATTCTCTCCAGAAATGTTTTTGGCTCACTTTGTTTTAAAAATATGCTTTGCTCTATCTCTCCTGCTTATACAACTTGTATACACACACACACACACACACACACACACACACACACACACAATCTCTTTCCCCATCATAGCCACAACTAGAAGACAGACTTGAGCTGAAGGCACTTGGAAGTCTAGGAGAGAAAAATGCTTTAGATTCCTAGAGTTGGGGACCAAGATCAATGAGCTCTATCTTGGGACATCAGAGTTTTGTTTGCTCTCCCAGAATGGTGGCTCCCTGCTCTCTCTTACCCGCACAGGGGCACTCTGGCTCAGGTAGCTGGTCCCAGAATGACGTCAGCTACCACAGCCTGCTAGTAACACCTGTGTTTCCTTTTCAGATCTTACAGGTGAACAAGGTGATGTCCATCTTGTTTTATGTGATATTTCTTGCTTATCTCCGTGGCATCCAAGGTAACAACATGGATCAAAGGAGTTTGCCAGAAGACTCACTAAATTCCCTGATTATTAAATTGATCCAGGCAGATATTTTGAAAAACAAGCTTTCCAAGCAGATGGTGGACGTTAAGGAGAACTACCAGAGCACGCTGCCCAAAGCAGAGGCCCCCCGAGAGCCGGAACAGGGCGAGCCCGCCAAGTCAGAGTTCCAGCCAATGATTGCAATGGACACGGAATTGCTGCGGCAACAGAGACGCTACAACTCCCCCCGGGTCCTGCTGAGCGATAGCACCCCCTTGGAGCCCCCTCCCTTGTATCTCATGGAGGATTACGTGGGCAACCCCGAGGTGTCGAACAGAACATCACGGCGGAAGAGGTACGCAGAGCACAAGAGTCACCGAGGGGAGTACTCCGTGTGTGACAGCGAGAGTCTGTGGGTGACAGACAAGTCATCAGCCATCGACATTCGGGGACACCAGGTCACGGTGCTGGGGGAGATCAAAACCGGCAACTCTCCTGTCAAACAATATTTTTATGAGACGAGATGTAAAGAAGCCAGGCCTGTCAAAAACGGTTGCAGGGGGATTGATGATAAACACTGGAACTCTCAGTGCAAAACATCCCAAACCTATGTCCGAGCACTGACGTCAGAAAACAATAAACTCGTAGGCTGGCGATGGATACGGATAGACACCTCCTGTGTGTGTGCCTTGTCAAGAAAGATCGGAAGAACATAGATTGGCATCTCTCCCTATATATAAATTATTACTTTAAATTATATGATATGCATGTAGCATATAAATGTTTATATTGTTTTTATATATTATAAGTTGACCTTTATTTATTAAACTTCAGCAACCCTACAGTATATAAGCTTTTTTTTCTCTCAATAAAATCCATGTGCTTGCCTTCCCTCAGGCCTCTCCCATCTGTTAAACCTTATTTTGTGACCCAGCTCTCGGGAGCCGCTCTGTAAAATCTGTGTACACCAGTATTTTGCATTCAGTATTGTCAAGGCCATGACTGTCGTTATAGTAAACTTGTTAAAATCAGATGATGTCAGAGTTGTGTATAGACACAGTAATATCCCCCTCCTGGTGTACTTCATGTTTGATTAATTAAAAGAACTGTTTTCACTTCCATTGAAAACATTACCCAGTAGCTTTGAGCCCCATGCTTAATTTGGGCGGCAATTCACTGTCAATAACTCACTCTCCTCTCTCTACTCACCTAGAATGGTGGTATCCTGCTCTCTCTTACCCACACAGGGATCCACTTCGCCAATCAGAATTGTGATTGCCCCAGTGGTATGGTCCCAGAACAGTAAAAACAAACCTGGCAATTTTAGTTTTGGAAATTTCTTTTCAGCACATTTGTTGTTTGGGGTTGTTTAAGGCTTGGATTTTGTTTTGTTTTGGCTTTGGTGTTTGTTTTGCTTTTGTAAGTGGTTTTCATCCTTTAGACACATAGGAAAAAAATTTTAACTGTTTGTAACAATAATTGTATGGTTACGCAGAAGCAAACTGAAATGGATCATGAATAATCTACCCACAGAAGAGAACTGACTCATCAGAGATCCTTTGGCGCCTGGCCTTCTCCCTCCCCTGGCAGTGCCTCCTAGAGCTGCATGAGGAATTAGAAAATTCTCTGGCTTCGCAGTCAGACGGGGGTTCAGAATCCAGCCCCTCCCCTGTGACTTGGGGTAAGGTTTGGAGGCCTCCCTGAGCCCATGTTTCTCGGAGACAGAAAGTGAGATGGGGATCCTGCCTACCTCCCAGGCTGTCCTGGGGATTCAGCTAAGTAGCCCCTGTAGACATCTAGCAGAGTGCTAGTCCATCCTCTCCTCCCCTCCTCCTCTCTCTCAGCTCTTGTGTTCCTCTGTATCATGTTTGGTTGATTCATCACTTTGAAATGTACAAGCTCAAATGGAAGAAACATTCCTAATGCCTGCTGGGTCCCAGAAAGAGTCACATCAGCGAAGGGGTCCCTGTGGGGATGGCCACACCTGTTCTGCCATGGCAGGCCTGAGGAGGACACTAGTGGTCCCCAAGTCCTTTTCCCAGTGGAAAAAGTAGTTCACCCTCTTGGGGTTGGAGCCTAAGGAATCTCATCTCCCATCTTGAAGATGCAAGGTGCCCCCTATCCCGGTATCACTTACCTGCAACCCTGCCCTGTGCCTTCTGTGGATTGCCCTGCCTTCAAGGCCCATGTGAGCTCTCTGTATCTAGAACAGCCACAAACCCCGAGATCTCTCTGACACATACCTAATAGAAGATGTGTCCTTTCTGTGCCATGAGCCTTGAAATAGGCTCAGCAAATAGCAGTGACTTGGTTAAGAGCATCATTCTATTGCACGTGATTTTAGATTCCTAAAATAGGAGGGCAGGAAATGAAGAATTAGCCCCGTCCCCACTATGTGCTAGGCACTTTCAAACATGGCCACCATTAGTTGTCACTAAGTCCTGTGAGGTAGTCATGATCATCTTTAGTTAACAGGTGAGGAAACTGAGGCTTGAGGATTTAAGTTGCCCATGACCTCTTAGCAGGTAAGTAGCAAGTGAATATTTAAATACTTGTTTGAACAATGATAGTCTTGTTTCCTCCTCACTAGTCCTTCCCTTTCCCCCTTCTGCATAGCACACTGCATTTCAGATGTAACACTGAAATCTTAGGGAAATGAAAAGCACAATTTTCTGCATGAAATCCTTTAAAAAATATTTTTATTACTTAAAGTATTACATGTAGTAGTGCATATATCTTCTTTCCTTCACCCCATTGACCTTATCCCAGGCTCCTTTACCCCCTGTGGCATGCCCTCATCCCACCTCCCCAGTGTCTTGTGTCCATATGGTGTGCTTATATGCATGCATGGAATCCTTTTTTACCTCATGTTTCATGAGCCTATTTCAAAAACACAGCAAATCCACGGACAGGAGAATGAAGTCTTATGCTTGACCCAAGCCCAGTTCTCAAGCTGGAATTTATGTTCCTCTTCTGGAACTTCTATTCCAAATGAGGATTGTCTAGAGGGTCTGGCTGCCTGGGAAAATGGGCTTGGGTGGCAGATCGCAGCCTGGAAAGCCATGGTTCTTAAACAGCAGAGCTCTGTCTTGAATGGGAGGAGTTTGCCTGTATGTCCAGAGTGGGTCTGGAGCAGCATGCCTTGAGAATAAGTACCACTTTGAGAAGAAAGTGAACCTGAAGATGAGTGAAAAGTCTCCTGAAAGGAACTCTAGGCTTCAGGCCATGTGGCAACTTTGTCTCTCCCATGCTGGGTCACAGTGCAATGAAAAATTATCCAGGTCCATTTTAATAACTTGATTAGCATTTAGAAGGTATTCATATGCTGCCTACATCAACATGTTGAGCTTATGAGCCCAGGACAGAGCCTTCTTTAAGGTTCATAACAGGCTTACTTCTATCCAGTGTGCACATTTGCCACCTTGATAGGTTGAAAATTATGCTTATCTCTGAGATAGGAGGACTTTGGAGGGCTGGTGACTGGCTTCTGGAAAACTCCACTCTCTCTTTCCTCTCCCCTATTGCTTGGCTATCACTGGATAAGTCACCTGTCCTATCGGGAGCTTTCAGCAGCATCCTGAGATTCTGCTGTGGACTGGACAGTCCTCACTTTCTTAATGAATGCTATGCTGAGAAGTTCTGTTGGCTATTGGTGAGGCTTCTGTCTGCCCTCTTATCCCTCTCTAAGGTTTTTCCATTTATGGACTGTGTATACTTAAGCAAGTTACTGCACCTCTCTGAACCTTTGTTTTCTTGTCTATAAAAATGAGGATAGTGCTTACTTCATAACACTGTTTTGCAGTGTAATGAAAACATCCATTTCCTAGCACATACAAAGCCCTCTGGAGTGTAACATGATGATGATTGATGCTGCTGCTTTTGATGATGATGATGACAATGATGACAATAGCTGGTTTTGGGGGAATTTGCAGGAACCCTCATTGTGGAATTCTGGTAGAAATTTCTACACTTCACAGTGGAAGTGTATTAACCATCTCGTGATGGTCCCCAGAGTAGCATTTGTTCAGAGTCCCTGGCCCTGTCCTACTGACAGGCCTTGAATCCTCAGTTGACATGCCAGGGAAGGACTTCTAACCCTTCTCAGCAAAACTACTAGCAATCTACCTAATTTTCTGAAAGAGAGAATGTGTATGTGTTATTCCTCTTTACAAATGTATGAGACAGCTTTGTTCTTGTTTTCATTCTCTCCCTCACTCAGTCCCTCTCTCTGTGTCCAATAGTGCTTTCTCCAGGCTAGTGTTTTAGGGTTTGATGTTTCTGAGGATTTTTTTGTTGGGTCCCTTTCCTGCCTGTGTGTTTATGTGTGCTTTTTAGTTCAATTACTTGATGTAAAAACCCTCCATTGAGGCTTGGAGAAACCATCTGCATTTATTTTATCACCTTTGAACATGTGTTTGAGAATGAAATATGTGTAGTCAGTTTATGGCTACCTGGAGATTTGTCTGGCTTCATCAGAAAGATGCAACACCCACCCCCCAGGCTTCAAGCTCTGACAGCCCTGGGTGTGCAAAGCCAACACCAGGCCCTCGGCAAGGCCCAGCTTTGCCTCACAGAATTCCAGCACTACTCTGAAGCCTGGAGAGCAGACAACTGTCTAACATCCACTCACCCCAACAACCCAGGCCGGAGGGCCTTGAACATGCTTGGTTCCACATTCTAAGGAGTTGCCATAGCCACTGAAGACTGACTCTCACTGGAACCTTCTTCAGCCTGACCCTCTTCCTCGTGTCCCCACCCCAAGTCTTAGGAATTCTTACATAGCCTTCTCAAGTAACAGTGGGCAAGTGGACTTCTCAAAGGGCACATGTGTTTCACAGTGAGCTGAACACAAGAGCATTTGTGGTGGCTGGAAGCCATGGGTATTTGGTTGGCTCCAGATGGAGGTTGGCCTAGCGTGGAAGAGAACCACAGAGCAGGTTGAAGCACTCTGAATGACCATGGATTTGCTGCCTTCAGTCCTCAGCCTGTGTTTGGTAACAGTGTATGGAAGGCCAATGAAACAAGTGCAGATGTGCCTGAGGTGAGGAACTGCAGTAGGAAGGAGTAAGGAAGTACAGAAGGCAATGGCCCAAAGATATCAAAAGTCTTTTCTAGAAGCTGTTTACTGCTGATGCTTTTGGCTGAGTTGAGTTGTTGCTGAGTTCAGTAATGACATTGCCTGTTCAATTACAAAAGTTTCTGTGGCAAGAAAAAGTTTATTGGAAAATTGTGAAACACAGCCTAATGAATTAGATGGCTTTTCACATGGAGATGTATGGAGGTGAGTGGGTGTGCATGTGTTTGCATGTGTGCAAGTACGTGCATGTGTCCATGCGTGCATGTGTCAGTGTGTGTGTGTCCATGTATGTGGTGTGTGTGTGTGTGTGTGTGTGTAATTGCTTTGATATCCTAACCACTAATGTATTGCATTTTTAAAAGGAAAGGTAATGCTTGAAAAGAATGCTCCAGAGATTGAGCTGGGAGCCAGCTGGGGAGCATATGGAAAATAAACATTCTTGGTGCTACAAAACAGGCTGGTCAGGGTTGAGGATTTGCAGACAGAAAAGGCATCAGGCCGGCTCCACCAGCCAAAACAGAAGGAGCTGGAGTTGTGGACCTTGTGATTTGGCAGGAAAGCACTGGAAGCCATGTGGGTTTAGCGGGTGGAAGATAAGGTCAGACCAAAGAATAGCTAATAATAGTAAGGGTTATCATT